AAAGGGGGGGGGGGGGGGGGAAATAGTTATAGGAAATGAATGAAAAGATTTTATTAAAATTAAGTCAAGAAAAAAAAAGTTATAGGAAATGAATAAAAATATTTTTATTAAAATTAAGTTATAAATTAAGGACATATATATCTATTTACAATGGGATACCTTAAGAATATTTAAAGTTTAAATTGTAAATAACAAAAAAATAACAAATACTAATATCCTTTCAATGCCTTAATAAATATTAAAAATATTACAAACGAGTTAAATAAAAATACTATAACAGTTTAAAACTAGTAAAAAAAATAGAAATGCCAATAATTTTTTTAGAAAATCACCCAAACAAGATATTTTTCTCCTACCCTTCGAATCCCGAAATGACATATGTAGACGTCAGTCTTCTTATACTTATTTCCTACCCACATTTCCTAGTTGGTGATTCATATAGTGATACCATGTATTATGTTCTTTGAAGTTGGCCTTCATTACAACAATCAATATGTTTGAGATTGAGGATCAAATCCAATAAGAAATCATGATATGAAAACATTACTACTAACTCATTTTAGATTTTCCGGATTAATCTAATTGAGAAATTAAAGACCAACGTATGTTTGAAAATAAAACTATAGTTAAATATCAAACAAGGAAAATTACATTATTTCATATTCCATGCCAACAAAGTATAAGATACTCTTTTTGATGCCAATATCATATCAAGTTAAGCTTCATGTAAATTCTGATGACATCCAACATTACATCCCAAGGAAAATAAAAATAGAATTTGGTCAAAAAAAGTGTGTGTATATATATATATATATTAAAGGTTGGCCGCACGTCTCTTCCCTACACCCAGTCGTCGACATGCGCCCATCGCCGTTCACAGCCACTCATTCCTTCCTTTCTTCCACAGCCGTTCCTCCAACCTTGACGGCTTCCTTCCTTCCTTCCTCTTCCCTTCCAACTCCAACCTCTCTCTACCGTATAAATCCACCACACCACCACATGAAGGCATTCCCACTTGTCTCTTCTTCTCATCCTTCTGAAATCAACCTTTGTCGTTACCAACAATGGAAGCTGGTCTTAAGTTCAGGCTCTTCGCTGTCGCCGTGATGGCTGTCGTCGCGGCATCTTCCTTGGTGGAGAAGGCTGTCGCTGCCGACGCTCCCGCCCCTGGCCCTTCCTCTGGCGCCGCTGCCACCCTCGCTGCACCGGCTGCCGTCCTCGCCTCGTTGGCCGCCCTCGTCGTTGGATACTTCGTCTGCTGAGCAACGGCGGACTAATTCTTTGCTTGGATTCCTTCATCGATTCTCTTGCTTCACGGTTGCACTCAGTTTGATGAGTGTATCATGTATGCACTCTTATGGTGCTTTCGTCGACGTTATTTCTTGCCTGGTTAGAAGTATAGATGAAGTAAAAGACTGTATTGCCTCAGCAATTATATGATATCACCTTCTTTCAGTGCTTTGTCATGTTTGTGGAATACAAATAATTATATTGATACTTTAGTCAAATGGAGGTTTGGCTGGACGAATCTGCTGCAGTTCTATTGACTGTGAGGTGTTCTTCCCCTCAAAGAGTGATTGAGGTGAAGCATTCTTTGCTTTGCCTGCTACACTCAGACTGGATGTTCTGAGGTTGATAGGTTTGCTTATTGGCACTGTGAGACTGTTTTGTAATTGGAGATGTGACCAGCATTGGCATTTCTTTTCTTCTTGTATCTAATTCTTGTGGATGTAGCCACCACTGATCAAGGATTCATCCTTCTTGTGATCCATCCAAAGAAGAAACTTTGCTTGGTGATGCAAGTGAACTAATTGTTCCCTCTCAGGCATTTGCCTTGTTAATCTTTGCAACATTAACAAGGAGGGAGATGATTTGAGGCCTTGCAGATAATATAATTTTTTATTGGTGACACCTAAAACAATAAATTTGAATATTAAAGACTCTTATTATTTTATCTAAAATTAGGAAAAAAATTATTATATTGTATCATATACATGACGCTCATATATGGACTCAAACATAAGACCTATCACTTGTGTAACAATGCTTTTATCACTATTCTCTCGATATATCTTCTTTTTACGTTTTCTTTTATCAAGCTATTTTCTTTTCGTGTTTGTGTTATCAATTCGGTCAATATAAGATTTTTTTATGACCTAAAGTGATCAAGTTTTTATAAACAAAAAATTTCTATTTACGTGGATAATAATAAGACTACAATTTAATCAGAGGATATTTTAGTATTGCTGCTCCAACAATATGAGCTCAACATATTGATTCAATTTTTTCATTGAACTTATATTTGGTGTTTAAATTTGCTCATCTTAGAAGATCTCAAAAGCAAACAAATCAAAATTGGTGGAATTATTTGTTTTTAGGCATCTCATTGCATGCTTCATGGATCCATTCTTCTGAAACAGTCATCACTCAATTCTAATATGCTTGGGATGACCTCCTCCATCAAATAAATTGCTCAGTTGAACTAATTCCTACTGTTGATTCCATCACTAGTTTGGCTTCTGTTTCTTCTTTTGATAGATAAAGTGTTGGCATCTTTGAACTTAGATAAACTTATATTAGGTGGAGATGTCATTCATGAGATTGGTCTTCAGGTCACCAGACAAGAATCTCTCAATTGTATAAACAAAAATAAGCTTGTCTTGGGACATTCAAGAACATGAAAGAGACACTATGGACCTCCTAACCACTCCATATTATATACCATTATACCAACAAAGCCACCTCCTCAAACTTAAGTTTAGTATATATATCCTTTAAGAAATTCGACTTTATCTCTAGAAATATAAGTTTAGCATATATCATTGATATATGTCAAGAATTGTACCAAAAAAGAAAAAGCTATCAAAAGTATACTTAGGAATGAGAGGACTGCATGTTCTAACTCATAAACAGGCCTACATGATATGGTTATCTGCCATGACTTTGATGGCCTTCTAATAATCCATTGTATATTGATACATGCAGCTTTTGTTCTTCAAAATGGTGAGGCAATTTAATTTCCAAGATGAACAGTTCTTCTGAATTGTTAATACCTGAGAGATCATCTTCCAATCTGCAACTTCTGAGGAGCAAAAGCAAAGTATTTTATGTTCCATTCTTTTGCTTTTCCTTTCAATAGCCAGTTTGAGTTCTTTCACCCTTTTCACCTAATGTTAGAACTACGTCGTTGTCCCTTTCTTCCTTCGCTTAAGATGCAGCTTTGTATGCATCCATGTCGTCGGGTACCACGAAGAGCTCTCAGCTTCTGCCAAATGGCGAATGGTCGTGCGTCCATGACGTCTCTGCCTCGTAGGAGTTGACCCAGCAAGAACAAGGTGGGTGACTTCTTGATGCCCGTAGTGTTCTTGTCCTCCATTGTATTGGCAGATATGTCCCCTGAATGGAAGAATCATCAGCTTATTGGCATGCAAAAACCAATGGTTTAACAGCCACACCACTTGAATCCTATGAACAACTTAGAGAGAGAATATTACTGTCAATGACAAAGAGTTTGATGCCTCCATGTCAATTATAAGGGTAGATTGGTATAACCATGAAGAAGCACTGTGCTCTGTGAGCTTTAGACATGTTCAGCACAAACTACATTCTCATTGTTTTCTCATAGGATGCTCAGTCATCAACCTGAACACCACAAAGTCCAAAGAGCAAACTGACAAGAAGGACATGACAAGCCCTCCATTAACTCAATCATCCCTGCAATATATCTTCTCTCCCCTCCCCTCCCCAATAATTGAAACTCATCCTCTCTTCCTTCTCCCTCGTCCAACGCCAAGCTCCACAACCCACCATCACATCCATGGAAATCCACTTCCAACCTCAGAGGCATCCACGCCAGATCCCTGTCTGTAAACCAGCAAGCAGATCCAAGAAGAGGAGCAAGAGCAGCAGCAGCAGCAAGTTTGTAGGTGTGAGGCAAAGACCATCGGGAAGATGGGTGGCAGAGATCAAGGACACCACGCAGAAGATAAGGATGTGGCTGGGGACGTTCGAGACGGCGGAGGAGGCCGCCCGGGCCTACGACGAGGCCGCCTGCCTCCTCCGTGGCTCCAACACTCGCACAAACTTCATCACCCATGTCGCCACCGACTCCCCTCTCGCGTCGAGGATTCAGAATCTTCTCAACCTCAAGAAGCAGACTACCAGCGCTAGCAATCCTTCCGCGTCCAACAGTTCTCCTTGCGACCCTTCTGCAACCTGCACTGGCGCAAGTAGTGCCGCTTCGAGCAGCATAGAACCTGAAAGCTGCACTAGTAACAACAGTCTTGGCAGTGTTGCTTCCTGTCTCGAGATCCAGCAGGACATCAGCCAAATGGCTGATGAAGTGTACAGGCCGTGCTTTAGCAATGGCGGTGAGGATCTCGAGTTCTGGTCATCCTCGCCATTGCCGTCGGACTCGTGGCTGTTTGATTGTCTCGAGCTGCCCAAGGTTGGCCCGGAGATCTCCGAGTTCGAGAGGATGAAGGTGGAGCGGCAGTTCTCGGCGTCGCTCTACGCCATGAACGGAGTCCAGGAGTACTTCGACATGGTGCACGACCCTTCAGATACGCTATGGGATCTCCCTCCCCTCTGTCATTTGCCTTGCAGGACTTGATCGTCCGGCCACATCTACTCTCCCACTAAAGCTTTGCTGTCACAAAGCAATGGCGGTGAAGAAGAACAGATCCACCTTCCAATGGAACTCGGTTGTAACTATGAACTGTCTTTGGGTCCTGTCCTGTATCTTCTCTTAAAACTAGTGTTGTAACCATGGATTGTCTTTGGATCACCTAAATTTTCTTGAACTAGTGTAAGAAGAGGGAAGAGTACAACATTGACTCGAATTGCATCTAATCGATTTGGTTCTTGGATGAAGTTTGACCAATTTTGACTCGAGAACGGGACAATATTGAGACATCACATTGTGGACCCATGAAACCTCGGTTTGGTTCTATTCGGTCCGGCCCATTAGCCAACTCGTCTTCCGTCGAACCGTGCCGTGCCGTGCCCGGCCCACATCTCACTCGTCGTCTATATAAACTAACTAGGGTTTCTTTGCCTTCTCCCGGCGAGCGAGCGAGGCGTGCGTTGTGGATTCTTCGTCTTGAATCGATCTCGGCAAGGTTTGAGAACAAAGAACTCTTTCTCTCTCTGTTTTCTCCTTCCTTCTCTTAGCAATGGATTCTGTGGTGTCTTTGTAGTATGATCGGGGCATGTCATCCGCGCTTTCTTTCTTCTACATCTTATACATAGCATATGGTATTTATGCTAGTCAAGATGATCTTGTACGGCTCTGGTCGGACGGACTGAATCTTTAGTTTCTTATAGTGATTTTGGTTAAGATTCAAATCTAAACATGATGCGATGTATGTTACAGGAGATCGATTTCGAAATGTTTGCTCCAAGATCCATCTTTTTTGAAAGAAAATTGTACTGTTTTTTTATTGGAACAATATTTTGATTGAAGAAGTTTCCAGATCTCTAACGAGTTGGTGGAGAACCGAAAGTCAGTTTCGGTGAACCTTCTTTATCACTTCTTTGAACCCTAACGGTGGATACAAATCCATCGTAGCTCTTCTTTATCTTTGGAGTAGAAGGAATTACAGTTTACTAGAGGTATCTTTTTGAGCTATATGAGCTGTGTATCTAGATATAGGAGTAGAAGAGGTTTAAGTGTTGTATTTTTCCTTGCAACTCAGGTCAGAAGTTCCTCTTTTGATTGCAAAGTTTGCTATTTCACTTCCATATTATGATTCCATGAAGCACAGAGGGGTTCAAAATGTTGTGGTGTTTGCCTCATTTTTGTGTCAGATGATAGAAATAGGATTTTTCTCGATAAGTGCTGAGTACTGCAAACATATTAGATTTTTTTTTTCCCATCTATGTTTAGTTGTATTAAAAAGTTATATACATGTTAGGCACTTAAATCATCCATGTGAGGCCTCAAATCAAGTAAAATATTGACACTTAGATCATCCATAGGTTTGGAAGAGACATTGATCTGGTTCGGTCGAAACTGGATTTGGCTCGGGCGTTCCCCCACTGCCTGGGCCACTTACAGGATTAGATAGTTGAAGGCAAGCGCCACGCCTAGGAGAGTGCCCGGTGACTTCACTGGGAGAGAGTGAAAAAAACACTGCAGGATTAGATAGTTTTAGTAGAAGCTCAATCCTTATAGTCAAGCAGACTAGCATTGGTGGAGGTGCTATGCTGTCTTAGGTTTGTTTTCATTGTATCTCCATTTTCCATATTCTTTTAATTTTTTTGTTCAGTTTGTTTTAGATGGTGGTAATACCTGTGTGTATGCATATATTGCTGCCATAGGAACACCCACTGTTAAGATAGTAGCATTAGGTTTTGGTACTGTGCACACATTTTTCATGTCTGCAAGTGCAACTGACAACTTGGTGCTCACCTAGCACCAAGCTGTTCGATTATGCACAATCTTTTCTCGGAACTTGTCCAGAAAATTTGTACCAGATGATTGATATCTGAATAATTCATATAGTTATTCTAGGTCTTTTTGACCTGTCAGATCTCAGGTCCTTGATGGTGGCACTTTTGGAACTTTTTACTGATGAATATAATGCTCAGTTGGTATGTCGTTTTATCTTGTTTTCTTTCCATTGTGAGGCAATAGCACTTATTGTAGACCACATGTTGTGTGTGTGTGTCAACTTTCATATCATGAAGTGACAAGTTACAGCTTACTTTGAGCAAAATATAATCACACGGATGCTCTGTCCTGCTAATGGCAGATTGTGAATGCAACTAATAGAATCATCACTGACCTCTTTGTTGACATATCTTCTTTATTGACAGAGGTTGACTTGCAGTTGATACTAGTACCATCCAATATGCTCACCATGTTTTGTTTTCTTTGATATTTTTTTTATTGTTGAGCTGCTACGCTCTTCATCTTCTTCTAGATGTTGATTTATGTTGAGCAACTGATCTGATTGCATTCCACATTAAATTTAATGAACAGCAATGGATGCTCAAGCTAAGCTTGCAGTTGTGGTGAAGGTGATGGGCCGAACTGGATCTAGAGGTCAGGTTACCCAGGTTAGGGTTAAGTTCTTGGACGACCAAAACCGGCTGATCATGAGGAACGTGAAGGGCCCAGTGAGGGAAGGTGATATCCTTACACTTCTCGAGTCTGAAAGGGAGGCTAGGAGGTTGCGCTGATGATACTTCAAAAATGGATTATCTTTATTAGCTACAGACTCTAATCATCTTCCTCTTTGCCATGGTTTCTGTTTCTCTGGTATCATTTATCTCAATTTTGTGGCTTGTGGATGTGCTACAAAAGAAAATCATGAGTGGTGGTTTTTATATTGCTGACTATTGTGGAAACTGCATCGTTGTATTGTGAACTCCATTGTATTATCTTCATGCTTATGTCTGTTCAATTTGTTTCTTGTGTTCTCTTTTAGATGAACTTCATGTATTTTCTTCATTCTTATGTCTGTTCAATTTGTTTCTTGTGTTCTCTTTTAGATGAACTGCATGTTGCACATCGATGACAATTTATTCTCTTGATGCATACTTACATATAGATATTAATATAAAGGGGCCATGCTGGTTGTCTTTGGCTACTGCTCTCCTGCCGTGTAATTTTTTGCCAGACAATGTAGGTTTACTATGTTCATCAGCATGGCTCAGTGCTTTCTGGAATCACACAATAATACCATGAGCATGCCTAAGATGTTTTCTAATACAGGAATAAATTTAGAGAGATTGGTGGTGGCCTCATGATCTTGATTCTTGCTGTCTTCATTATCATTCAAAACATGCATCCTCATCAAACATTAGCTACCTATTTCTCTTAATCCTGTTTCTTCACAATTAACCCGGGCAGTCCATTATGTGTAACAAGTAATATTTGATCCATAAATTTATGCTATTTTTTGTAGATATAGAATTTTATGCAACCAAGAACATTTGTCACTTATATAATATTCTATTTTTTGTTAATCTCTTAATTGATCTGAATCAAATTCAAATTCAAAGACGATGAGGTTCCAAGGCTAATTAGAAATTATTTCTATAGTTAGTTAACCTTCTTATCTTGGTTCCTATATTTTAAAAAATTACATCGATAATAAAAATAAATATCTAGATTTATTTACTTTAATATTATTTGTTTTACTAATAAAAATATAAAAATAAAAGATAGATAAATAATTTTAATGTTCCAACCCACTTTGTGTGTTCCGTGCTAATGTTCCTCCTGTCTTGAGATCGGAGGCCGAAGCGGGGACTCAAAAGTGCAAATGTGCATCGGTGAGCCCCTTTTGAACAAAGAAATAACAAAGGCTAAATGGGAATCTGTTTGTACGTACTCCAGATGTTACCTGCTTTGTGAGTCCGAGCAGACATGTGGGACCGCCTCTGCAGCCAATCGTAGAGGTGGGCGGGTTATTTTTCTTCTTCCAAAAACCAAGGAACAAACGCGCGGCCTCCATTCCATCCCCCCACCACTGTTCCCTGACCTCGGCACCGAGTAATCTTCCCTATGGTTTCGATTAACTCTTCGACGTCCGAAATCCGCAGAGCGACCGCCAAAGATGACTTCTTCGGATCTGTAGCACGTTCAAATTGTTGGTTTTTTGGTCTTTTTCATCGTATTGGAGCGTATAAGCGAGTCTGCAGTTCCCTCATTTATAGCGCCACCAACTTCGGTGGAACAGGTCCCCGTAGCATCAAAGGCGGGAGAGCTCACAGCTCAGAGGGGGTTGTAAGAGGGCCCTCCTTTGTTCCCGTTTCGAAAAGGTGGGATCTTTATTTCCGATTCGGTAGAGATTTATTAGCGGCAGCAGGGAGCGGGGAGGGAGGGAGGAAGGAGAGGAGGGATGGAAGGGGGCGTGACGTACTGGCAGGCGTTGATCCTCTCTTCGATCTTGGGTTGGGTGGTGGCCTCGTCGCTGTTCGGTCTCACCCGGAGGGTAAGAGCCATGACGCAGCCCTGGGTCACGCGCCGCGTGCTTGCGGATACCCCGTCGATCCTTCGTTTACAGGTGAACACGAGAGCTGTGTCGGATTCTCGTCTTCTTATATCTGGTAAAAAAATTTGGATTTTCGTCGCTACTTTCGTGTACGGGTGAAGAAGATGTGATCTTACTGCGATTTCGGCAGGTTTTGTTGTTTAATTTGTGATACATAACTGACATTTCCAACTTGTACGTGTAATTGTGCTCAAGGTAGAGTTTTGATCCGAGTTCTGAGGGTTTCTTGGTTGATTTCGAGCAGAGGTTGCATCACTGGTCCCTGGACAACATGTTCTCGGTGCTGTCATGTGTTGTGTCAGTGCCCTTTTATACAGGATTTCTTCCTATTCTTTTCTGGGTAGGTCTTGTTGTTTGTTGTCTTCTCCTTTTTCTTCCTCGTTTTCCCTTTCTTCCTCTCTCTGAGCGGAAGGTACATGATAAATTTCCTTGGATTGTTGGTAATTCTCAGAGTGGGCATGGCAAATTGGCCAGACAGATGACCCTGTTGATGGCTTTCTGTGATTATGTCGGGAATTCCATAAAGGTAACTAGATATTAGTTTCGAGCTATTATTCTTGGTGGAGTGATCTAGCTAGTGATCTTTGTAAGTTCAAGCCACTGCTTGTTTTTTATTTATCGGATTTTTTTTTGTTATATGGATATATAGGATCTGGTATCAGCTCCTAGACCAAGTAGTCCACCTGTGAGAAGAGTGACTGCTACAAAAGATGAGAAGGAGAATGCCATGGAATACGGATTGCCATCTTCGCACTGTCTGAATACTGTATGCTTGTCAGGGTAATTTCTTCGTTTTCGATGATTGTATTGAGTAGTCCCTTTGTCACTGTTTATTTTTTCCAAAAAGTAAAATTTTAATTTTTTTTCCTGTGATTTGCGTTATAAGATTAATCAATCTCATAAATTAGTGATAAGGGGTATGAAGGTCCTTTCATCACACAAGCTCCTTGAGGATTTAGTAGCATTAATGCGCACAATGGTATAATGTATCGGAATGCGCCTTACCTTTTATTATCTTTTTTTATGGTTCTTGCAGATATTTGTTGCACTATGTACTTATATACTATCCCCAAAGAGAAGGAATTGCGGTTGCCGCTATGTTCGGACTAGTTTTCTTGCTTGTCATGCTAATTGGTGTAGGTGAGACGACTTCTACTTGGCAGAACTATTTTTTTTTTATATTCTAGTAACAGCACTGAGGGGTTGAGAAATGAATGCCATATTCATCTGTGAAAGAAAAAGAGATCTAATCTTGGTTTATAATTTTGGTCCTTGACAATTCTTCTTTTAGGTGTATGACTTCTGTTCTTTATGTTTGTCCATTCAGGCAGGGTGTACTTAGGCATGCATAGCTTGATTGATGTTATGGCTGGAGTCGGCTTTGGGCTTGTCATACTTTCTTTTTGGTTGATGGTCCATGGATACGTCGATGAGTTTATTATCTCTGGACAGAATGGTAAGCATAGAGACTTTACAAACAATTTAGATGTTGATTTTTGAATGCTAGTTTTAGGTTGTCTTTCTCAACCACCAATGACTTCTTGCGGTTTACTTGTTTTTCAGTTACATCCTTCTGGGCAAGCCTGTCTTTTCTATTGTTCTTTGCGTATCCTAATCCAGAATTTGCAACTCCAAGCTTTGAGTACCACACGGCCTTCAATGGCGTTGCATTTGGAATAGTAAGCGCATCTCTTTTTCACCTGGTTTCTTTGTAACATTTACCGCTTTTATCAAATAGTTCTTATAAACTTTTTCGTACTTATTGTATCATATATCTGATATATCAAGACTGAATCTAGTGCTATACTTTACATTTTTGAACTTGGATTCAAGGGAAAGAAACCGTGGAGCTGAAATAACTCACCCAGAACACCTTTTAAAAGATTACGTGGTACTATTGGGTCGAATAAACCTTTATGGAATAAATACTCAGACACTTGTGAACCTTCAGGTATTACCTTTTTTAATTTAAATGAAAATATTCTTTTTGAGAAATATACAATAACTAGCTTGTTTATACACAGAGTAGGCATGATCTTTAATTAGGATGTGGTGCTGTGCTCAGGATCGAGTGTATGTCCAACCTTTTCAGAGTTGACTTAGTTTCACTATTGGTGGAAACTATGACTCCATTACTTGAAGTTGTAGAAGTGTTTGCATGCCTATCTTCCTGGTGACGAAAATGCAATAATTCATTACTCACTTGAAGATGTTCTTGAATCTTCAGAAGGTAGTAGGATAATTATTTATCATATTGAATGCTAACATTTTGTTGACTATAAATAGTAAGCTTCAGTTGTCTTCAGATGTAAAATATGCATGAACTGTAAGTGCCTTTATGCTATTGAATCTTCGGAAGATGAAAAATATGCATTACTCATTTGAAGATGTTGTTCTTGAATCTTCAGAAGGTAGTAGCATAATTATTTATCATAGTAAATGCTAACATTATGTTGACCGTAAATGGTAAGGTTCAGTTGCCTTCAGATGTAAAATAAGCATGACCCGTAAGGGCCTTCATATTTTGAAATACGTTGAGCATCTCACAAATAAGTGAGAGCCTTCCTCCATATCCCTTTTTCTTTCTGTTTTCCTTGGCGCTTTCTCTCTGTCTTTCTCTTGCCCGCATCCCTTTCTATTTGCTGTTTGCACTACTTTGTTCATCTTTCTCATGTGTGGTTCTCTCCTCTGTTTGTCTCTGTGCTTTCTGACTCTCCCTCTTTGTCAGTCTCTCCAGTAAACATCACCTCTATGTGTACAGCAGATAGAACTTTTTTTCTCCAATTTTTTTTTATCTACAGTGCATTACATTTCGTCCATACCTTTCATTATAAACCACCATTCTATCTGTCTCTCTTCCCCATCGTTGCCCACCCTTTTACCCCGAGGATATCAAGATTTGCTATAGCAAGTAATTTTTGTGTTAGCCAGCTTAACCGGTAAAGACTTTGACAGATTATCGCAAGGTTCTGAGCTTGGATTCCGTTTTCGCCACTTATTTTTTGTGTCGATGGCAGAAGTTGCCTAAGGCAACTATCACATTTTTCAGAAAAAATAACTGTGTACTTTCGCATCAGCTTGGCAACATCATGATTATTCTTCTGGAAATATATCGTAACTAATCCAAAGTAGAAATGCTAATCAAAAAGTTTGTCATGCAGGTTAGCGGAATTCAGCAAACATATACTCTTTTTCACCATGATAATGTTCCGCGTGTTTTCAGCCACCAACTACCAGTTGCAGTCTTCCTAGGACGGATATTGATCGGCATTCCCACGATACTTATTGTGAAGTTCTGCAGCAAAGCTATAGCTAAATGGTTGCTCCATATTCTTTGCAACACTTTGGGTATCCCAATAGTATCATCATGCTATGTCCCAACAACACTGAAGGGATCCGATACCAAAGACAAACCCGAGAATAAGCAATCAGTTTATCTTCAGAAACTGATGGTTATCTTCCCACAGAAGGCATATGACGTGGATACCGGAATTCGATTTCTCCAGTATGCTGGCCTCGCATGGTCGGTGGTCGACTTGGTTCCCTTGCTCTTCTCATATCTCGATTTGTAGCAGCTTTGTTTCCCTCGCTCTTCTCATATCTCCGGTATACCGGAATTCATTTTGTTCTGCCTCTAAGAGGTTGTAGATGAATTTTTTTGTAATATTTTTACTTGTAATGTGAGAAAACTTGCCTTTAGATTATTTGCTGGATAGGCTGTTTTCTTGGATGGGTCTCTGAGGGACTTTTACTCTCTTTACTAGCAGAGTAATAAATCTGCATAAGTTTAATAAGTCTAATAAATCTCTGATAAATAGACCTCATCTTAGCAATCACACAAACCTATTGAAATCATCCACCCTATGATGGATATCATATAGTTTTACACTTACGATTAGACTCTAAAAAGTCTGAGGATAGAAATAACTGTGAGCTCCTAAGAGGCCATCAATGTCGAACACAAACAGGTCTGAAATAAAAATGTACTTGTCAAATCGATAAATAAGTTATTTATAACATCAGACCAATGCTGCTTATAACATCAAGAAGATAACATAAAATAATGGCAAGCCATATGTCCAGAAGACGATATGACTACATTCTTAAGATAACACCACAGAAGTGACTGTTAAATATAGAACTCTCAGCTAAATCTATGAATTTATCAAAGCAGATCCATAAGTTTAAACTTGCTCCCTTAGACAGCATGAAAAAGAAGCAAAAAAAAAAAAAGATAACCAGAAAAAAGAAAAGAGCAAAAACAATGATACATGCTGCTCCACCATCAACCTTGCCGCCTCCAACCGCAATGGAATCCACGACATGAAGAGATGAATAGCTTCCAACATCATTATACATCTACTCCGTCCAAATCACCACAGCCATGGATAAAAGTGGCAAACTGATTGTACCATCCTAATGAGAAATGTCTGAGATCACAATGCCATTGTGAAAGCAGTACTTGCTGCAAGGAATCAGGAACGTAACTTCTCCATTAGCTGATCTACAGGAAGTAGTCAGGAGTTCTGCGAGTCACGTCCGGCTCTCCTCTCCTGGGGGCAGGCTCAAACTGTGACAAAAGAAAGCTTGATCAACACCTAGTCATCTTCTTGACAAAAAAAAAACGTAATCCAAAAAGCCAGCATGAGTTAGTGGAAGAATTACAGAACTTATGTGACAAATCAGGTCACATACAACTTGAGTAACAACAAAGGAACTTAACAAACTAAATCCCTCTCTCAAGCATAGAGAGAGAAAGAGAGAGAGAGGGAGATTCACCTGGATGAACGTATGCCCCTTGCAGTCATCGACTTCCAATATTGAGGCCATATTACCACACCGATAGCAATAATTTGGTGCACTAAATATGGTGACCACCTTTTGGTCCTGTTTTAGGCCATAGGGATAATTCAGATTCTGGACCTCCAAAAGACAATGCAGAAGAATTATGATAATAACAACAAAAGGTAGTTACATGTCCCCAGTTATATCCTTCCATGACTAGCTGATGAGCTCTTGCTATCAGCTTAAGATTATTGGTGTGGTTGAACTGCTCTGATATATCCTGCAAGGTTTCAGAAGTTTAGTAAAGAGAGGATCATTGCAACTACAAGAAAGCAGAAAGCACAGAATTATACTTGGCCAAAAGTATATCCAGCACCACGAGGGGAAATACCCCAACCACATCGGTCATCAGGGTCAGACCACAAAAGATCACACATAGGCCCCTCATGTGGAACCTCTTGAACACGATCAAAGTTACGTATGCTATCAAGGGTCTCAATAGATGGAGATAATCCACCATGTAGACAAAATATTTCAGATTCAACCTGCACAAGCATAATGAAAAGGTTTTCATAATTAGAGAGCAAACTTTAAAGGTTTTCATAATGAAAAAGGGAGAGTGAATGACACTATCAAAACTATCAGCAAGAAAAACATCATGAAATTAGTTGTGATGGAAAGAAGACTCCATATGTTGATCAATCCATAAAAGTTGTATGGAAGATAGACCACATAATACCGTGCAATACAGTACCCCACAGTAATTTGCAATAAAGCGACAATCACAATAGAAGAAAATATGGGCTCTGCATGTTTTTCGACTGTTAATATAGCGACAATCACAATACAGTACCCCACCAAGCTGACCACATTACGAGAAAAAGTCTGAGTTGAAAAAACTCATTAATATAATATTAAGGTTCCAACACAATTCGACTGTTAAGCTAGTATGAAATAATTTATACACATCAACAATTCCTTGGGAAGCATTTTTCTTATACATTTCACCTCCAATAGTTGCAATTGCATTAAATTCACATGTTGACATCATCCACGGAACAACAAAAGTTAATCATCCTCATCTAATGAAGTATCAACAAGAACACTTCCAGAATTAGCATACTGAAACTTATACATCCAAATAAAAACCAAAACATCCACCAAGTTATTAACAGGATAATTGAAAGATAATGACATCAACAATGAATATCCACTGCCCAAATCTATTGAGAAATGTTCAGAATACAGACCAGTGCTGTCAAGGGGAAATAATCAAATAAATCTGTGAAGATCTTCCAAACATTCGCATTACCATATCTGCCATCAAATAATGGAAGTAAAAAAGTTACAATTAAGTAGGACAAACAAATGTCAGAACAAGAACAAGGGGAAATTTCAGGGCGGAAGCCCAAGAAAATAAAAGTAGGTAGAGTGATATCAATAAAACTGAAGCATGCCTTTCGGATATTATATTTCTAAGGTATGAGTCATGGACTTTACATTTCTCAACGAAGATCCCGTAAGGTACACATAGCTACCGTTTCAAAAATGTAATACAAGTAAAAAAATCCCTTAAGAAATACAAGTGTGTCAAACATAATAGTCAAACATAGCTACCATTTCATATACAAATATTTAAATTTTCAAAGAACTCTTGCACAAGGACTATTTAAATTTCTCATCTCAATCAGCACATTATAACACATGCAGAAATGTATTGTGCTGGAAAGTCACTAACAGGTATCATGCCAAACCATGCTTGCATGGCTAGGCCAATACTTCGCCTGTGCCAGGGGGAACAAGGTTGGCAGCTAGCATGGTGCGGAATCATGTCATCATGGTTTGACCTCAAGCACAGATCAAGCACATAAGTGACTAGATAATGTCAATCCTGTTATGAAAGAGAAAAACTGGAATATAATAAAAGATGAAAAATAAATTCATAAAAGACGGGAACTTACTTTCTTAAACATTCATCATAAAATCCATAAACTTGGGTAATCTGCAATATTATACAATAATCTTCGGTTAAAATTTATCAGCAATACACTTAAGATTAAAAACAAAAAAAATCTAAAAGTCTTATTTAGCAATATAATCTGTTTGCTTTGATCTATTCCTGATATATTCAGCACAAGAGAAATAGACCTAAACAATGGTAAGCCACGAAAAAGAAAAGAGATAAAATGTTGTACCTGACGACTCTCATGGTTTCCTCTAAGAATGGTGATTCGCTGAGGATAACGCACCTTGAGGGCCACCAAAAGCTGGACATGTTAATCAACCAATGTGTTATCTCAAATATTCAATTAAGATGTAAAGTTAAAAAACAATCAATAAGCAGAATATTCTAAGAACTAAAGATGCACTATAGTATCCCAAACAAAAAAAATTCATTCTTTCAAATTCAATATTTTGAGTCATGGCAAACAACAATATATATATATATATATATATATATATATATATATATATATGGCAAACAACAATATTTTGTTATAGTGTTGATTGTACAATATGAATGCAACCAATAACAAAAGTTTAGAAGACAATTCTTATGTTTCCAGATGTCTATGCAGAAGCACAATTAGCTCAGCCACAATGGCTCCAGCACATTGTGGCTGACAGTATATGACAGCCTAGTATAAGTTTGATACCAAAAATATTCGGCCTAAAATCATACATTCTAATAAAAAACTGACAGTATATGACATTGAAATGTAAAAAATATACAAGAACAAGTATAACAACATTACAAGTAAACATAGCATTCTTGTTAACATAATAAGAACAGAGGCGCTCTCTTACCGTGACAGTTTCAACAGAATAGTACCCTCGGTCTACGTAATCACCCATAAATAAGTAATTTGTATCTGGACACTAGAAACAATGAGAAAAGTATCATCAACTACACAGCTAGACTGAGGATAGCAGCTTGTATAATTTACTGTTAGAAATCTAAATAAAGTTAATTCAACATGTTTAAAAACCAGTTATTTGAGTTATGAAAAACATGAAAGAAGTACCTTTCCTCCAATTCGAAACAGTTCTGCAAGATCATGAAATTGCCCATGAATGTCACCACATATTGTCACAGGGCTCTTCACAGGCTGTAATTAAGTAGCTTAATCAATGGCCAAAATAATTCGTCAATTGAAGGAAAGTTAAATGAAGGAATATGCCACGTATAATAGATCACAAGACACTTCGAGAGACAGAAACAATTGCACAAATACCAAGAAAAATCGAGCATCAATTGATATGTAAAAACAGCACAAGTCACATGTCAGAGCAGGAACATAAAATCAAAAAGGTCAATATACAGTCACACTGAACTCTTTATTCAAAAAGGTATCTAGACTCATCTTCACTAAACATGAATACAGAGAACACGAGGCTAAGCAGCTAACAAGTTTTACAAAAATTATCAAACATCACTGACATGCCACCAAGGTAATGCCTTTACCTGGACATTGCTTTCTTCCATCAATACCTCTTTGGCCTTCTCACACAAGACTCTAACCTATACCACAATACCAATATTAGAAGTTGAAGGATAAGTTGACAATAAATGGCAACTGAACCAATTCTAGCTATAAATAATTGTCAGGAGTCAGAGACGAATGCATATTATATAAAATTGAAAAAAAAAATAATATGTCCAACATTTTTATACAATTTTTCTTAAAGCTTTTATCAGCAAGGAAAAAGAAAGAATTGGTAGTGTGATACAAGTAGTTTGCTGATACATTTCAGACAGCCAAGCACCACATATCCATATGCAGATCTAAAGATTCATACTAGGTAGCAACAGGTTTAGCGTACAATTCATACGAGGAAGCAAGAAGTTTAGTGACAAGGGAAAGTGTATGTTGAGCATGGTTATCTATAAAATTTTGAAGAATTTAGCACAAGAATGTGTGATAAAACTTACCAAGAAGAGATGATGTTTAACAAAGAAATGAAGCCTCTCATGTTGATACTATATTTTAATTAGAATGAAGGAACAAAAACATATTTCATTGGTGATGTTATATTTTGGTCAGGATGAAAGAATGGAACTTGTTTGGAAATACTTCAGAAGTATTACACAAGAACTGTATAAGCTTAACATATACCAATGGTTGTGTTTCTGACTCTAACAAGATACACATGTAGAAAGAATATGTTCTCATGCCATATGTCATTAAATGTCAAATGACTATATAAGCAGTAGTATACAAGGTAGATAATGTGGTAGGGTGAATGCATAAACTGAAATTTAATGGCTTTTAGTTAATACATTAAAAAATTTAGAACAAAACAATTCCATCAAGTAGGACAAATAGTATTGTGCAAGTCACATCAATAGGACATTTAATGTGGGTGCAAGTTAGTAATGAAGTGATCCAAAGAGCATTTATTGAGAAAAAAAAGAGACATAACGATTGGTCGAGAGATCTAGAAATAATGATAACTTTGAAAAATCTATATTCAATGTAGAAGGACTAGAAGAGACTGAGGCTAAATATAACGAATTTAATATGATTCCGTAACAAAGAAGAAAATAATTTGTTGAGAATGGCATAAATGAGTTGAAAAAGACATTAATTATTCAAACTGTTCTATAATCACACCATAGATATCCTAGTTTTATAAGTTGGAAAATGAAAAATAATGCAGATTATAAAAGATCATGTGAAATTTAGGACAGATTTGACAAGAACTTTTCACACGTAAATAAGAAAAATAGACAAACTATTGCTGTAATTCAATTGACACACAATGTTTTCATCCGTTCTGAAGAGTCTGCAATATCTTGCTCTCATTTTCAATGCCAAAGTAGCACAACGTGGATTCTCTGTCTTTAAAATGCATGGCTATCGTGAATTTTACCAATAGCTTAGGAATTATGTGATACACAAACAAAATTACTCAGCTGTGGAGTATGGATGACAATCTTAATTTCCCCCATTGATATACTACTACATTGCCGTACCAAATCAATCATAAATCTCCTTTATGAGGTAAATAAAGAACTAAATATATATTATTTATAAAAAGAACTCGGATCCGACCCAGCTTATAAACTCTTCCACCTCTGAATCGAATTAGAAACGTCAGCCACAGAATGTGATACCAGATCTGCGCCAGAGACCCTTTCCAACAGTGAAACAAACATACCAAACAAGATCCTCGAGATCCACGTGGATTCGAGGATTTAAGGAAGGAACCAGCAAAGGCAACCACCCACAATCGAAGAGACTAAGGAAGCGCAAACCTCTTGTTCGGAGAGCGGTTTGCACTGCATGAGCTGCGCGATCTGCTCCTCCAGGTTCCCATGTGAGTTGGGCGCCGGCACCGCCTTCGCGCTCATCCTCTCTCTCTCTCTCTCTCTCTCTCTCTCTCTCTCTCTCTCTCTCTCAAGACGCCACGATTAAGGAAGCCCTAACCCTAGATTTCCTCCTCGCCTCCGGGATCCAAACCCCTCCTCCTTTCTTCCTCGCCAACAAATCTTTCCGTCTAACGCGAGAGACCGCGAAAGAGGTGGGAATTTTCCGGAGATCAAAGGAATTAAACATGAGGAAATCTTTCGATCTGCGGCCCTTTTAATCGTCGCGGAGAGGAATTTTTCGGAATCAAAAATTTGCCGCTGGAATCGGCGGGGATTAGCTGCTCATCCCGAAGCAGCGTTCGGAGATATAAGATGATGTGGTAAAATCCAACTAGTGATCGAGATACAAAAGTGGGTCCCGATCGTTGCATTTGGATTTGATTGGTCTATTACTCGCGAAGGCTGTCGGCAACGCAATTGCCAAAGAAAGGGCGTTAAATTATTACCACACACACAGAGCATGTATATATATATATATATATATATATATATATATATATATATATATATATATATATATATACACAGATATATCATTGTTAGTGACATGTTAATTAACATTAAATGGATAATTTGTGTTTGCCCTTTAAGTTTAAGTTTAGAAAATAATTAATCAAGTAATAGGTGTATGAGGTGTTATTATATAACCTACTAAATAAGAAATTTGGTCAGTTTAAGTTTAGAAATAAAATCATCTTTTCTTATTTCATGACATATATAGCTTCTACATATATATATATATATATATATATATATATATATATATATATAAGAGCTTATTATATAACCTACAATCAAGTGAACAATAAATGTTTACATAAAAGAGCATAATTGTATTCTCACCTTTGTTCTTTTTGTTTGCTCTATGTTCTCTCTTGCTAGATTACATATCACAATCTAATAGGCTGAAGAAATACAAGCATTTGTTCTACTTCCTCACCCTCAATCTCTGCTATCAACAAACAAGGCAACCAAATTGGAGAAAATCCATATAACTCTTGCCTCTATTGTGCTCATTCTTGAGTCTTCAACCTCATTGCAAACCCCTCGAAGACTTGACTGAATGGGAGTTCTTTTTGCACTTAAGCTGATCTTGAAGCAGGAAATGCAAAATCTGAGAGATCTAGATCAAGATTTAGGAGGTGGAGCAGAACAATAGCAGAAAAGATTACCATATTTTTCATGGATCAACAAAATTGAATATTGTTTTTTGTCGTTCTTCAGGGAAGCTACAACAGTGGCATCTTTGGGTGACACTTTGAACAGAATTTGTAATCCAAGGAAAACTATCCATGCCTTTGAAGTTGCAACTCTTTCATGTGCAGCTTACGGATGGCTAATGGTTATCAATTGCTTCGGTTGATTAAAAAATTCCAGAAGCAACTTTCCTGACTATCTACTAGCAGATTGAACTTTATTTTGCCACAGGAAGAAACCCTCCTGGCAGTTATCCATTGTCAAAGAGGACACTTTCTAAGAACTTGCAAAAGTCTTCTTCATGTCTATCCATGACTACTTCCGCAAGTCATTCTTTGTGTTGTCCATGGCTGCTTCAGTTGCAATGAAGCATACACATTTGAAAATGTTAATATAAAGACGATCAATCTCTTTGTCGTCAATGTCAATGAACTGAAAGTTGAAGGTAATTGGAATAGTCAATCCCATTTAACCGCACACAGCATAATATATGTTCTGGTAGTTCTTCAGGTTTGTTTCCCTGCACAAAAAAGAAATTGCTTCCCTTAGTGCTTCAATTAATGTTAACATGCAGATACCTCTGACATTTTAAAGGTAGTACTCTATTGTTTGTTTTTTATAGAAGTACACATGCAGATCTCACAAGTTAGGGCTAAACATGCAAGAGTTACCTGTATCGTTAGGCCAAAATCCAATACACACAGCTTCAGCCTGTCAAGAAATGTTTCAAATCCTTTTCTGGATATGTAACTAAATCTATGCATGTCCAGATCAATCTCAAAGTAATTTTTACCCTGCAAATGATGCATCACAACAGCAACATTAGACCCATGATATCAAGTATTTGTATAGTAAAATTTGGTCTCCCTGTCGCAAGCAGTTGTTGTCAAACTTCAGGTAGAAAAAGTCTTGATAAAGAAGCAAGGTCTCGAATAAAGCAAACTTAATCGCACTTTAGTGAATTGGAGCAAGTGTGTTTTGTAAATTTCTGGTGTTTTGGTACTTGTCATATCATTTAATATCCAATTTACATTGGCAGAACAATAAAGATGGTGAACTTGAATCTAGATTATGCATCAATGACAAAAGTTAGAAATCACATAGGGTTAACTCAGCTTAATAATCTAATATTTTACTAATATTGTATCTTCAACATCTAATCAGAAATATAAGAAGTGGAGAACCATTTTTACTGCATACCGAGAAAGCATTCTTGCAACTTAAACCTCTAAAGCTAAAATAGCAATGGATAGACTTCACTACTGTACCATGCCTGACCTCTTCTTAAAAAGCATATAGTATTGACAACTAAGATCACTAAGAATGAGGTGGATCTTAAAATAATATGATTCTATTTAATTTTCAAACGGGGATCAATTTACCAGGTAGAAATCATGCTGAGGACGAGAGAGAACTGGCTTCTCATTGTACGCATGCATAAGCTTCCTCTCAGCACTGCTTAAAGGAAGATCCTCCATATTTGCTACATGACCAAGTATTTTTAACCTTTCTCGAAAGGGAACCAGTGTATCCATAGGAAAACCTCTGACCCTTTCTACCTCATCATCAATTAGCCTCTGTCAAGAAAGAAATATAAAAGCATTTAAATACTGTAAAGAAATCGCTTGGATGATTAGGCATAAAGGAAAAACATGCCATTATTATATTTCCTCTGACAGCATAAGCACAGCTTTGAAAAAATACAAATAAAAATGTATTAACCAACCAAGCAAAAGTATACAACCATACAAGGATGGGTTGGGTAAACGAATGAATGGTTGATTGAGTTCCAATAATAAGTATTATATATACATATACAGATGCAATTTACACAACCATAGCACAAGTGCTAGTAAATATATGGATTAAAAAACAATGTGCTGAGCGAAATTGATCGTACTCTAATATTCTCCAAGAAATGAGATGGAAGTTCCTTCGAGTAGCCTTCAGACAGCCTAAAATATAAGACGAAGCACATTCCTTCACCATCATTTTCACTCTGAAAAATAGTAGCAGGATAGAGTGGAACCTGTCACAGACATGACAAATCTGGAAGATCAGGTGACTACCATAAAAACTTGTAGAAATGATATAAAGTAATAAGGAAATAGTACGGTTCTTTAAGATGCAAGATGTCAAGTAATTTTTTTCTCATTTTGCATTTCAGCCTTGGTACAACAGTTGCAACCAGGGAGACCATGGTGCAAGTCATGAAAATAGAATATAGAGAGATAAGGCTGTGTACACTGACACTACCCAGATCCTGCATTGATGGGAGCCATGAACACTCCTTTTCTTTTGTGTGTATCATTCTGGGTAACACGTGCAGAAAGTTGAAAATGTTCAGGCTGAACTAAGATGATCATCTTGTAGAAACCACAATGAACCATATGGCAGAATATCTAAACCTGGCTGAGCAAATTTAGAAAATGATTTGGAAACTTCAACTTTGAGGCACCTCCTTAGAGTTAGTAAAATAAATCAGGATCGACAGTCAACCAACCAGATCAGCTGAACTGCTAATCCTACCTGTCGCATTAACATGTCACTATCCTTTTTCTTCTTCCTTTTTCTTGTCATATATGGTTTATTTCAAACTCCTGGCCCCATAAGTACCTAAATCGGTGCTGGACAACTCACTGCTTTTCTTCAACGTATATGGTTTATTTCAAATTCCTGGCCCCACAAGAACCTAAATAAGTGCTGGACAACTCACTGCTTTTCTTCAACATTATAACCAGTAAATTTCTTCTTTTATATAAATCTTCACATACTTAATATTTTCTATGCATTCCAAACACGTTGTTGGCATGCCTATTTCTTCTGGAGACTTGGATAAATGAAATGATGTAGTCAAGCACTAACTAGAAGTAGGAAGCAAGATTTAATGAGAATAAGGACTAGAAAATTCTGCCTAAGCTGGTTGCAAAATTTTATGGTTCTTTTGAATAACAAGGAGAATGTTGCTACCCTAACAGGCTCAGACAATACTTTGGTCCTTGTAATATTTTCCTTGCATTGTGCTTCAAAATTGACATTGAGAAGATACGTTCTGCATCCACCATTGTCAAGTTGATTAAACTTTAAAGATCAATTTACATGTGCAGAAAACTGGAACAGAAGCAATGATGTCTCACACATGCACAAAAAGAGTTCGTGTCAATAACAAACTATTTTATTATAGCTTGTATATTGTAGCTGCAACATGTTATGCCTGAACAGAAGAGTTTAAAAACTATACCTGCACTGATATGAAAGGTAAAAATAACATGTCTTATAAAACAGTTAAAATATGCTCTAATATCTTAGGTTACACTAAGTTACTTTGATCTTTTCCACAGTCAGAGAAACCATACTCCTGGCTGTGTTTCATTTGAGCCATTAACTAGTATAAATTGGAAAAAAAACAACTTAGGAATGTCCTGTTTTCAAACATGACAACAAACAAACATCTTGATAGCAAAATTAATGTGGTTTTTGTACTTCCAGTAAAAGTGGCATCGGTATATACCTGAATGTTAACTACAAGAATAGGTGGGAACTTGCTTGATGGATTTAAAACAGGAAGTTCCACAAATCGAGCGATGTGATTAATTTTCTGCTGGCATAGGTAGACATCAACACCAAATGGACAATATGCTGGATAATTTGGAGCAAAATCTTTCTTCTTATCCCTGGCAGCAGATGCAAACTAATGTAAGAATTCAGTCACATGTACATTTTGTCCAACATTGAGTTATAGCATGCATGTTGAATTCTATAGATGTCAAAATGAAAAATCAACAACACCTACCTAAAGTAATGCCCACCCCGAACTCTGAATATACTGGGCTCAATGTGTGACCAGCTATCAAGCATTTTCTTCTCTAGCAAGCAGAACGGGACCTGAGATCCTGCTAGTGGCTTTTCAAGGAAGGCCTTTGCAGAAACTTGATGCAAACAAAAGATAGCAAGTCAGAAAATTACATGATACAATGAGAAGCCCACAAAAGATTTGTAATCTCATGAGTTGGGCACTCTCCTCAAGTTGTTAAGAAAAAAAAAAGTAATGATTTTAGTGAGGAATTCTCCAACCCACATAGTTCAACTAGTATATCTGAAATTCACTTAGCATACATCAGAAAAGATGGAAAATAACTGACTCGATGGTCAAATTACTAACACGATAACACGAACTAAGAAACTTTAACTTCCAAGAAAGCCACAAGGAACCCCCTCAACAGTAAGGTTTAGATATAATACAATCCAATAGGCAAGATCTAGAACAAGAGATATCTGAAACAAAACTTTAAAGGGAGCAATAGTGCAAGGAAGGCATACAACAGTAGCATGGTTTGGATAAGGGACACTTCAGGAGAATTATGAAGGCAAGTCAAGAGTGGGGTTCAACAATTATTTAAAGATGATTTTTTTTATATTTTCAGAATAAACAAAGGAATTTTGACAATTTTAATTGTTGAAGATCTTGCTATCATATATCTCCCTCAAAGACAGGCTCCAATTGTTCCATGCAGAAACCAGTATAATATAAACTTGAAAGTTGGAGAAGGTTGGTACTATATTATGGAGAAACTAGCATCCAAATGAAAAAGTGAGGGTAATTATACTGACATAATGTTGATGTAGCATGTGCTTCCCCTGACTTCCGCTTGAAAGAAAGCTTCAAAGAAGCCTTTTTGGCCGAGTTTGGTGGACTGGAGCTTAGGGCTTTTCGCTTTTCAACTGTGGATGTTGTGACGACAAGGAATGGCAAACAATTGTTTTGCAGAATACCACAACTGTCCAATATCCCGTCGTCACCCTGACCAGCATTTTCGTCCGCAGAAGTGACTGACACATCCTCATGACTCACAGAGGCTATCACAGTATTCTCCAAGTTCACCGAAGCCTGATCCCATAATTTTCGTCCATTCTGCTTTTGGTCAAAAGAAGAGATGGATGAAGCATTTGGGTTGACGACTCCAAGATTGTCATCTTTAGAAGACGAAGGGCTCGTTATGACTGCAAGATTGCCTTTAGAAGGCAAAGGCAGGGCATGAAAATTTGAATACGCTTAAAGAAAATAGCAGATAACATCAATTGTCATCCGATTTCATTAAAAAAATCATTCCGAAATTCAAATGTGCAACATACCATCCTGAACGCTCTGGAAATCCTCTTCATCTGATTCTACCACAGAGAAAGTGTCAAACCATGCTTCCTCGATGCTCCCGGCTGATGCCATAGCTTCAATTTAAGCAATGACCAAAGTTAGACTCACCAAAAAGATTGCTCACCTGAATAATGACAACCCTTACAAACAATTTCTCAAAAAAGATTAGAACAGTATGAAGTAAGTCCACGAATAAGGTTGAAGATAATATATCACGCCGAGGTATGTATTTCAAAACGCAGGATCTGAGTCACGATCACTGACATCATCCTATCAAACTGTGTATGATTGCAGCAGAGACAATCACAACTTCCATCCATCAATCTAAAAGATAATCTTCCTCGCTCCAACATCTCAACTTGGATCAAAATATTATTTCTATTAAAACTATATTACCATTAAGAACTGAAATTAAATGGTTTCTTTTACTCTAGCACGATCTACTTCAGGGCCTAAAAAATTATCAATAAAACCCTCAAAACAAGGGGGCCAAAATCCCATCTTTGCAAACAAAACCAGCTTAAACCACATAAGGGATTACTGGTCTTTTTTGCCGAAGGCAACCGCATGATACACCAAAACACAAAGAAAAGGAGTCAAGTCGGCACCTTGAATCACGGGATCGGCTTCGTCGATCCTCTCCATCGTCCTCCGCGTCGACGCCCGCCGCCTGATCGTCGTCCTCCGCCGCCGCCGCGTCTCTCCCGGCGATCTCCGCCGCCCTCCCACGCAACCACCCGGCCTCGAGACGCACGACCCCATCCCAGTCCCACTGACTGCCTCTTCCTCGCTCCTCTCTTAGAATCGAAATGTTGGGCCTGCGACGCGTCTCCGAGATCGGGGAAGGAGAATAGCGGGCGGACGAAGCGAAACCGGGAGTTCTAACTCCCATTGGCAACGCCATCATGACGAGATATATTTACTTTACATACACATTAAACTCGATTAGCTCAACAACGGCTGGAGAGACGGGCCATATGCGGGGGAGGCTACACACATTAACCTACCGTTCTCGAGCTCGTGGGCCCCAACGCATCACTCCATTCACAAACTAGGTAGAACGTTAGGTTCGAGGATGGAGATTGGAAAACATTCGTTCACTCTTTTACTCACCAGCGTACCCTTTTTCTGATAGGTGAATTAATGGGGCCTTGCGGGCCCCGACGATTTCCTGCAATTGTGAACCAGGTGGAAATTGGGTTAAGTGACGGTGATCCACACGCTAATCATGTCATATGTTTCGGTGGGCGTTGTTGCATCACGCGATACATTGAACACGGACTGTGTCTTCGTTAATGTTGGTGTCTCATCTCTTTCGATGTTCTTGGCACACTTTTGTTGACCGCATTGCTCCTACGTTCCTTTGATTTGATGTCGCAACAGCCGGTGAGAAGCTTCAAAGTCGGACACTAAACCCACTCAATATTCTACTCATGCAATTTCGAGTTAATTTACATATTTATTCTAACTTGTAATATTACCATTAAGAACTGAAATTAAATTATTACTGATATAATTACATATTTGTAATTATATGAATATTAACCCACTCAATATACTTAAATATTCTACCTGATGGCGAGGAACTTTAGCAAAACAATGACAACAAAGCGAAGAGCAAAGCAAAAATATTGTTGAAGGTTTTGTAGAGTGGGTAGGGGAGACAATTGTATAGTTTTGATGATTATGAGATGATGACTCTGTATCGTAAACGTCATAAATACTGCTTTGTAATATAGCAGTAGAGCTCTCTATCGCCATCACTCTACATCCATCACCACTGATGGCATCTACCATCACCAATTAGAATATTAAAATTATATATTTTTTATTTTTTATTTTTATATTTTTATTAGTAAAACTAATGTCGTCAAGGTAAATAGACGTAGATATTTCCCATTCGTAACTATAAGGATGTCAATATAAATTTTTAAAGTGTAATGATCGAAATGCTAAAGGTAGTTAATTAAACTAGCGTTATAATTTCAGTGAATCTTTTCTCGATTTGTTCCTCTTTATTTAATTTATTCGATGTGTCAAAGTTCATTTTATCCTATTTTTTTCAAACTGTATCATGTTTAAAATAAGGATGAAGTTTGATCTCACGAACAGTTGGAAGTAAATCTTTTTAGTTTCCCATAAAGGTTTCACAAAATCCAATTTTCATTCGAACAATTAATTCAAGACTTTCATGATATCGTATAATAAAATCTCATCGATACTCAAGTCAATATTTTTCACATGATTTAGAGTAGCTTGGATACATAAAAAAAAAAAAATCCTCATTTATAACATTTATTCTTTGGCCAATATCAAACTTAAATATCATAATAACTACATCAAAAAAGATTAGTAGTGTCAATAGCTTAAGTAGGGTGCTTTCTATCAGAAAAAAAAAAGGAAAAAGCAAAAGTTAATCCACATATTTATCTTGGACATACCTCAGTCTACAACATCAATGCTTAACATTGTTTGTTCAAACAAACTAAACTCATGCCAGCAACTTAGAACACAGATTATGAGCAAGGAAACTAAAGATTGATAGATCTTGACAATCCAATGAGAATAGAATGGAAGAAGAAATTTGCAGTCCCTCTTAGGTATCGGTTGCAGACAGACTCGTCACCACCATGCCTTCATTTAATGCCCTAGACCAGGGTGGCAACGAGGAGGAGAGGGGTCACCCAAACGCCACCCACCACCAACCCCAACCACTTTGTGCCCTCAACATACCTACTGCATCTTCCACCATTAATTCTATGGCCACTGCTGGTGGTGGAGGAGGATGTGGCCGGCGTCGCCAGTGAGCCATCTGGTGCTGCATGGAAGCAGCACATGCGTATCACTACTGTTTCCAAGATGAGGAGAGACGAGAGCATGCAAGCAAAAACATCTCAGACCATACAGAGCACAAGTTTTTGGCAAAGTGAGGAGAGAGATGAAGATGAAAGAATAATGACCATATATATGCATGATTAGTCTTCCGAAAGTGCATCCAGTTCTGCAAGATACATGACAAGATTGTTTGAGGTTCTCATTCCTCTTCTTTTATTTTGCTTTGCATCATTAATCATGTATGGCTAGACCTATCTCAAGAACTGTTATATTGTTCATATGTATGTACATCAGTTGATGTATGTTGATCCTTGCAAATGAGATGGATTCATATTAATTCTATTGTGGACCCAAGCTGTGCAACCTACTTTTGTCACCAATTAATGTCAGATAATATATATTATTATCAACAAGACAGTGATTGGTTCAAGAAAATTAGAAAGGGTATTAAATACTGATTTGGCACTATTCCATTTCTTATGCTAAATACATAACATACAAGAGATAAACTTCTTTTTATTTATATTTGCCACTAAAATTCATAGTCCTTTTCATGTTGAAAGATAGACATGTCTTTTAGTTACTGTGTCAAAGACATTTTTTAATCAAAATTTCATTAATTCCAACCTCAAGTTATCATATTTTTCATACAAAGTAGTTTAATAACTTGCACAAGAACACTCAAATAATGAAATTAATTTAATGAGCACTGATTCTACCACATGAAGTTGTTGAAACTTTACTATAATGTCAATCAATTGCATGCCAACATACAATTAATGAATTGATAGAGAAAAAAGTACACAGAGTCATCCACTGCTCTAATCTATTATATGATGATGAGTTCTAATGTGCTCATTTATTTGCTCTTCACAACCTAATAGCCAATCCCATCTTCTAAATCTTCATTAGCCTACTGGTTTTGTCAGACCATTCATCAACTAATACTCGCTTGATTATACCCATCACATATCAGCCTTGTGATTGGAGACAGTGAAGAAGTGGCTCTCTAATCATGAGGGTTTATTTCTGGGTAGATTACTTTGGGTGTGTTTTTGTAAGCTAATGAAGTCTACGTAGGTAGTAGAAGAAGGGGGAGATGGCTTTAAGGAAACAGCATAATAGTATACCATGGCCGCTGCTTGCATTTCCTTGGTTTGCCTTCCCAAACTGCTCGAAGATCTGAGCTTCCTTCGAGTGTGGCGGTAGGTGAAGAAGCTCTGCACCATGATCAGAGTTAGAAGCGGAAGAGAAGGATTAAGAAGAACGAAGAGGAACGCATCAGCCATGAACTGTACGTGTACTGCACTTACCGGGGCACTCGGAGATGTTGGAAGATGCATGGCATACGGTGGGCAGATTCATGGCGAGGGTGGCGTTGAACGTGATCCCGAGGCCGGGCTCGTTGCGGTCCTTGATGAGGACGCAGAGACACGTCCGGTTCTTGGAGAGGATCTTGCTGAGGCCGTCGCAGCAGTCCGGAGTTGGCGCCTTTGCTTGGCCCTCGACGTAGGTGAGGCAGGTGGCGAGGCTGACGAGCGTGTCCTGGCAATTCGCCTTGTCCTGGGCGAAGTCCGAGCTGCCGAAGCTGGCGCAGCAGAGTAGCAGTACAAGAAGGAAAGGCAATCTGGAGGAGAAGGAGAAAGTTGCCATGGAGTGGGACTGGAGATGAGGAGGAGAAGAGGTGGGTTGGGAGTATAAAGGAGTGGGAGAGTTGGAGTGGCAATTAAGAGAGGTTAACCAAGGTTGGTAAGTGCATGCTTCAGACAGATGGAGTTAAGGAGAGGGTGGTGGAATGCATGGGCCACTTTGGCTGGGGATTAAGACCTGCTTTCTGGATTAATTAATTGGTCTGTCAAATTAATTGACTGTGTGTCTTAGAGAGAGAGAGAGAGACTGTGTGCGTCACTCTCTATGTGTGAGAAAGATTATATTGTGTCTGTGTGAGATGTATAGATAGATAGAGATCTATGGAGAGAGAAGGGGCCCGTTGATACAGTAAAGGATAGAGCGACAAGAGGGGCGCAACATACTGCGAGGAAAAGGATGGGTACGACTTGCATGCATGATTTCATAATCTCCTTTATAAGCTATTGTTTGTTTGGTAAAATCAAATTTAATTAGCTTATAAGTTTATTCCAAAAAAAAATTTGCATAAATGATCCGAATGCATCTAAACTAAACTTATATGATATGAAATAGTGTTCCTTTTGTTTTCTCTTATTTCTCGCGGAGAAAGTCGATGACGTATTAATTATCCCAATGTGATTTTAGTCTATATAGAGGTATCGTCAAGATGTTTCTGAAACTTTTGAAGGAGCTATACGAAGGAGAAACCTCTTGTGGGTTTCAATATGACCTACACGAAGAATGAGGTCAACGAAGGTTTTATTGACTCGATACATTCGATAATTAAGTTAGTAAAATAATTTTTTAAATGATTTTATTGACCTCATTTATTATGTTATAAATGAGGTTTTATTGATCTCATTTATTATGTTATAAATGATATTTTATATTAGGTAGGAGGGAAGAAAATATTATGTAAGGACAAAAAAATAATATAAAATTATTTTCATTTGACCTCTTATCTATTTACACACAAAAAGACAATCTATAAATATTTTATTTAGATTTATACTTATGTGAGCAATCAAAGAGGTCAATCTTATCCAATTTGATTGTTATATTTATAACCAAATGTCAAAACGATGATTGATCGATAATAATTCTCTTATTCATATTGATTTATAAAGCTTTGACTTCTTTTTATGTATCATTAAATTCTTATATATATATATATATATATCATTGGAGTTATAATATTAATTATGTTAAAAATTAACTATAATTTTAATGCAACAACATATATGCAAGTTTTTTAGTTTTGTGAACTATCACCAACTAATATCCATTTAAAAAAAAAAGTGAATTAGAGAATGTAAAAGAAATATAAAAAAATTACTTTCCTTTGACAAATTCGAAACAGGAGTTTTCTTGTCAAGTATGAAGTATCCTTTCATGGGATCCCAAATAATAAAGTGTTCATTAGCCACAAAGTATAGAACGAGCACAAACTATTTAAGATAATATTGGCATGTTCAGTAAACTTCATTGAGGCTCTAATTAGATAAGATGAGTAGATTATAATTAGTGGTATGAATGAAAATGGAAGAAATGAAATTATATCTTGTAGCTCAATTTTAATGTCAAGATGACATTTCATTAAATATCCATTTATTGCTCTATGTATTGTCAAATAATTACTTGGGTCTCAATCCATCCTAACTGTTGATTGGGTTGGGATAAGATTCACATTCTATTATTTAAATTGGTGCTCGACTTGATCTAACTATTGCATTAATTGAGCATTAATATGCCATCCACCACCAACTACATGTATGTCTTCAACATTAGCCACTGAATCATGAAGGGAAATTTCCTACATGTAATCATCATATCATGTAGTACCCAAAAAAAAAAAAGGTGGATTCTCAAGTCATTTATTTGCAGTAAATATTTTTTTAATATTTCTATTCAAACATATTTAAGCATATAAAAATATAACATATATATTTTTTATTGATGATGCTGATAAAGTCAATAATGTGCATAGAAAAGTCTCAACATATATATATAAGGATGTACACAGTAAGAGAATCCACTATAGGAATCCTTGGAATGGCTTCCATGAGTTCTCCATTGTGTGCCTTCACCATCCTCCTATCTGTCATCCTTCTCACATCGTCTACTGCTGCTGATGAAGATAGAAAGGTAACCCTAGTCATGTCAGATTACATCGATATTTAGGTGGAGGATTTGGAATGTACTGTTCCATTTGCATGCAGATTTATGTTGGATATATGGGAGATCACACCTCGTCAATGTTCTCGACCGAGGCTCTCCATCTTAATCTACTTGGTCGAGTACTTGATGGCTGGTAATTCTCTCTCGCGGAAGATGAAATCTCTTGACATGTCAAGCACATGAAGAACACCACTATGTTTCATGGTGCAGTTCACCCAGAGAGTCTTTGATCTATAGCTACACGAAGAGCTTTAGTGGACTTGCAGCGAGACTCACTGCCAAAGAGAAGTAAAAGCTTGCTGGTACGCCTGAGGAAAGTTGAGATTAGTATCTGTTTCCATAGCTACTGAGATCACGCTCTATTACTGCGTCGAATTTGCTGCAATGGAGGGTGTGGTGTCAGTGTTCCCCGGCAGAACGCTAAGACCTCGCACAACGAGATCATGGGATTTCCTGCGCTTCTCTCGAACCGTGAATCGGAATCCTCCTCTGGAGAGCGGCGTCGTTGTCGGCATGATCGACAATGGAATCTGGCCGGAATCCGACTCTTTCCATGACGAAGGGATTGGACCTCCTCCACGTAAATGGAAGGGTGCTTGTGTGAATCTCAAATGCAACAAGTACGCATCTCTTCTCGCTCTGCGTGCTTAATCCGATTGTGCTGTGTCAGCAAAATCAATGGGGCTCGATTCTACAACAGCTACATGGATCCTATACTTCCTCCACCGTCGCCGGTCGAAGCGTTCGTAACGCCTCGCGGGTGGCACCGCGAGAGGAGCCGTGTACAAGGGCTGCGCGACGCAGGACATCTTGGCCGCCTTCGACGACGCCATTGCCGACGGGGTGGACATAATCTCCCTGTCACTCAGCTACGCCTGGGTGCAGGATTACTTCGAGGACGCGATGGCGATCGGTGCGTTCCACGCGATGAAGAAGGGGGTGCTTACGTCGGCCGCAGGCGGAAACGACGGCCCCGACCGTGGCAGCGTGGCCAACGTCGCTCCGTGGATGTTGGTTTCAGCGGCAAGCACCATTGACAGACGCATCATAGACAAACTGGTCATAGGATCAGAACAGAGGCCCATCGAGGTAAAAGCCATACATCCATGTCTTCCTCAAATTCATCTTATTTCGACGACGTGACCATGTTCTGACTTCTTCCGTAAGGGAGCTTCTATCAACACCTTCCCCGCCGAGAAGAGGTCATACCCCTTTATGTTCTTGGGAAATTGAAGCTTTCCACCAAAGTAATCCTCCTGTTATCTATCCATCCTACTTGGACCTTCCATAGACCCTCTTTACGATCCATTCTTGCAATAACTTGCAGGCAATGCGATGATTTGGAACGTACGTGACACCAAGTAAGTCTCAATCTTGAAGATGCATGAGAAGAAGGGGTTCGTGGTGACTGTCTCCGGAGGGCCGCTGAAGATGAACTCCGTCGCCTCTGCTTCCATCACATGGTCCGATGGCAAGCACAGAGTGAGGAGCGTATTAGTCGTGTATACCGATTTCTCTTCACAGTAGAAATCGTACTCTCTCTTTCTCTCTCTAGTCAGTTTATTGTTTTTGTCTTGTGCTAATTATTAGCGTAATTAACATAAATAAGATTGTTAAAAGGATTATGATGCCACATAAACATTAAAGTATAGAATTTCTTGAGCAACTCAACCAAGATCAAGAAGAAAATAGAAAAAAAAGGATAAAATTGATCTCACAGATCAAGCTTTCTTCCTTAGTAAATTAACATTTGTCTGTCTGCCTTGTCAACCACACCATATCTTCAAGATGATGCCTTTAAGGCAGCAAATCTTCTGATACAGATGCAGGAAACCTTTCTGCCAAAATATGAACTTTCCAGCTCAGTGAATCTAGTTTCCAAGATTTCCTAGCTGGGGAATTTAATGATCACCTATCCACAATTTAAATCACAACACCTCAAAATCTTAAGAAAATAACAATATGATGACTAAAACTAGCTATAAAAAGAATTTGCAAATGGTGCATTCTTAGCAAGTGCTCTTAGGAAAATCTACTTGGTTTATCCACATATTTTGCAAGTATGAAACATCTTTTTCCTCATCCTAGGTTCTTTTTGTGGGACTTTTTCTTGTTGTTGCTTCAATGAATTCATGGCAATCATCATCATCATCATAATCTAATTTTTCTCTCTTGTTAATTACTCTCATTCATGGGCAGAGACATTTGTGATGAACTCACACTTCATGTTCCTCTTGGAGTAATCAATTTTTTTTCCTTGTTATCAATGTTCTGGTTTTGATTGCTCCTTCTCAGGCTTGAGCATGTTCAGTTTGGATTTTCCTTCTAAATTCTGTTTCTTTTGAGATAGAGAATGCCAACTTGAATCTTTCAGTAGTTTGTTTCCAGCAGCAGCATGTCCTGCAAGAAATGGCTAATCTTTCAGTAGTTTGCTTCCAGCAGCAGCATGTCCTGCAAGAAATTACAAAGCAATGATGTTCTCATGCCTAATGGACAGATCCAAAACCCAATTGTTCCCACAGATTCATCATCCAGTGGCACAGCAAATCGAAAAGCTCGCCTTCGATGGACTCCTGAGCTCCATTTCAAGTTTGTTGCTGCTGTTCTGGAGCTTGGAGGGGCCACTGGTTTGATTTCTGCCTTCCAAAGTTCATCAATCTCTGTTGTATATGACCTATAATGGTTATGCCTCTAAAGAGGGAGTTGGTTGAAATTGAATGGATCTAAAGTTCATTCTTGTATTGGACATCAAAATTTTTCTAGATCAGTAAGAGTTGCATAAGCGCAACTCTGAGGATGATGACACAGTGCAGATTTATGATCAAACAGGACAACATATAAGCTCAACCTTTTTCCAATCACAGCTAAAGTTCAATAGCAAGA